GGCTCAGAAGCCCCTACCTCTGGTCCAGGAGCAGCAGGACTCCGTACCATGGTCTGGTGGTCCGGTGCCCTCTGCATCTTTGTAGTGTGGAACCAGGTGGCTGCCTGTCTGCAGCGGGATGATTCAGCGTGTTCGCAGGACTGGCAACCTTGGTAGGGCATGCACCGATAGGACTATTCTTGCAAATTTTCCATTTGAAATAATTTCCAAACAATATTTTTAAAAAGAGCATGCATTCACAAAAGTTTCTTGGTCCCTGGTGCCCCTTATGGGAAACAACAAAGTCACCATAACAAGAAAGGGAGGTGGGAAATTCTGGCCCCTGTCAATGCTAACAGACATCAAGACCAGCAAGTCCTGAAGCCCTGCCTCATAACCACAGGCAACTGGAGGGCCCTCGTCACCTGCAGCAGGCACCAGCTAATGTCCCAGGAAACCTACGAGACAAGGCACTGCTCAGGAACCATCAGCACAAGTGAGCCCAGGTGGAACCAAGGGCTGCAAGAACAGAGAGGGCAGTACAAGGCCAAAATGTCTCATTGTAGCACAGGAGAATATGCAGCATCGCCGTCCTGGGTGCCGATATCAACAAGAACCAGGGGAAAGGAGTCCCCAGGAAAGGGAAAAGCAGTTTGGAATGGAAGTCTGCACTTGGAATTAGCTGTATATTTCACCTAACAGGGACTCTTACCTACAAGTGGCAAATTAAAGGATCAAATGACATGAGTTGAAATAAATTGTAGAGATTCAGATAAATTATGCTCTTTGCATGTTACAGCTGGACATGCTGGTGCCGCAACTGTGTGACTGTACAATGACTATGATTCCAGTTGGAAAAATGGACGAGTGCATGTGGAGGGGCAAAAGTAAACAAAATCTTTGCAGTAAAATTCAAAAATGGTGAGTGTTTAAAATTTTTAAAATACATTACAATAAAAGATAGATTGCCATTAATCTCCCTCAGGATATTCCCCTCACTTCAAACTTGCTTATCCTACAGTTCCTGCTACTTCTGAAGCAGCTCTGGAAGTCCTCTTTGATGAGTGTCACTAGATGCAGTGTCACAGCTGCCTCGATGTTCTGAATTAATTCAGAATATTTACCTTTCATGGTCATTTTGACTTTAAAGAAGAGTCACATGTCAATGATGCTAGATTCAGTGAATAAGGTGAATGAGGACACACTATATTTAAAAACAAGCCTACCTTTCCCTTGGATGGCACTCACCAGCTGTGTTCACCATATTTTTGATCATGCCTATAAAAACGCTCATGAAAAAGAATTTCCAGAATGACTTGTATAACAAAATGTTGACAGGGGTAAGGCAACAGGTTTTTCATTACTACATTTTTATTAGTTGTATGCATTTGAGAAAGAAATTTGTGCTACTTTTATAATCAAGCAAAATTAATTAAGATACTTTCCTTGTGGGGAAAGGAAAGGAAATCTCATCAGAGAACAAGGCAGAGCTCCACTCAGTGTTGTGTCATAAGCCTGAATTCACTCAGACAGACTTCCTTGCTGCCCCACTCATGTAGCAAAGCTGTGGTAGTGGGAATGCCTTATTGAATGATTTTTTTCTTTTCTTTTATAGTACTGGTGATTGAACCAGACTTACGAAGATTAGGCAAGTACTCTACCACTGAGCTACACCCCCAATCCTTTTTTCATCTTGCAATATGGACTTGTTAAATTATCCAGGCTACCCTTGAACTTGCCATCCTCCTGCCTCAACCTCCCCTCCCGAGTAGCTGGGATTATAGGGAAGTGCTACCATGCCTGGTCATACTGATAAATTTTTCTTAAGTACTGCATGTCAAATGAAGTTTCCTACATATTTGTCTGTCTTTCTCAAGTACACCCCAAAGTCTGCAGTTTTCTTTGCAATGATTTCCTAACACTGCTACCCTGACTCTGCCCAGAGAATGGATTTGGTATCTGTTGTTGCCTGGCATTGCTTAATGTTTTTAAAAACATTTTTATACTTAATAGCCATTCCAAAATCTTGAATTGTTTATTTTTTTAAAAAAACTCTGATTCTCTCAGTCTGACATAAATAGGTCCCTAAAAGAATATAATAGGTGATAGATGCAAGCTGCTTCCTCGTACTTTTGCTCTCCTTCCTTTTAATTGTCCCATTTTCCTGATCTTTTACTCTTTGTTATGGTTGATATCTGATTGTCCCCCAAAAACCTCCTGTGCTCAAAGGTGGGGCTTTTGAAGTGTGATGGAATTATGGGGCTTATAGCTGATTTGCTCTGAAGAGAGGAGGTCTGGTTGGCTCAGATGGGTCACTATGGGCATGACCCAAAAGGTTATGTCTCCCTCTCCTATTACTCTCTTGACTCTCTATCTACTTCCTGGTTGTCATGAAGTGAGCGGTTCCCCTCTGCCATGCTGTCCTGGCTTGGAGCCAGCCAACTACAGGCTGAAATCTCTACAGATTTTTCTCAACCAATAGATTTTCAACTAACAATTTTTACTTGTTCATGAACATTCACTGATAATGAGCCCATGGTGGAGACAGAGCCCCATAGATGGAACTGAGGGACCAGGGTTCATACAATAACATAGACATCCTGTTCCCAATCTCTCAGACATTGACTCTCAACACACACATGCACGCGGCCACACACACACACAAACACACATACAGCATGCTACTTATTCGAAAATGTCTACATTTTCGAATAAGTAGCATTTTTTTTCCTCCCAAATTTAAAACAATTTTTTTTGGAAAAGATAACTTGCATGACTCTTACTTGTCTTTGACCTGGTTGAGCTGATTATGGGTTGAGTTCGAGTCGGAGTTTAATTGTTGTAGATCTTGATCCCGAAGACCCTGCTCTTTATGTCTCTCTCTATCAAACGTGTCCTGGAAAGACATATAAATCAAAAAATAGTCTGAATACGTGAAATAACATGAGTGGATTGCGAAACACTTCTCTGAGCAAAAGAAGTCAGACACAAAAGAGCACGTAATGTGTGGTTCCATTTATGTGGAGCTCAAAATTAATCTAGAATGGAGCCGGGGATTTAGCTCAGTGGTTCCGGCGCCTACCTCGCAAGCTCAAGGTCCCAAGTTCAATCCCCGGTACCAAAAAAAAAAAAAAATTAATCTAGAATGACAGAAACCAGAAGAGTAGTTGCCCCAAGGGTGGCACAAGGAGTGCTGTGGAGTGATGGAAATGTTTATCTCTCAGTAAGGGTATGAGTTGCATGTACACATGCATTTGTCAAAATTTATCAATCTGTGGATTTTACTGTATATAGATTATAACTTGATTTCTAAAGAATCATCCTACATCTCTCTACCTAGAATAACATCCATGAGTGAAAATGTGAGAAATATCCAAAAAAATCCTCAAGGGAAAACAGTGCTTATGACAACTGGCATCTGTAGAGTTCCTACCATGTGCCTCTGCAAGTAATTTTGCATGCTTCTCATATTCTCACAATGACCCTATTATGAGGTCAGCAAAATGACTGTCCCTGTTCAGCCAATAAGGGAACTGAGATAAAAGGTTAGACCCCTACCCAGTGCCATGGGAGAGGGAATGGTTTTCTGCCCAGTGATCTCCAACCAGGAATCCTTTGACAACTATCTTATAATACCTTCTTTCTTTCTTACTCTTAATGCTTCAGTGTTAAAAAAAAAAAAAAAAAGAATTTATGCTGGGGATTTAGCTCAGTGGTTCCAGCAGCTGCTTCGCAAGTGCAAGGTCCCGAGTTCGATCTCGGGGACCAAAAACAAAACAAACAAAAAAAGAATTTATGCTGGGGATTTAGCTCAGTGGTTCCAGCAGCTGCTTCGCAAGTGCAAGGTCCCAAGTTCGATCTCGGGGACCAAAAACAAAACAAACAAAAAAAATAATTTATGTAAATCAATTTAAACATTTAAAAGTAAAGTTACTGAACCCAGGTCACACGCCTATAATCCCAGCACTCCAGAGGCTAAGGTAGGAGGATCACTGCATTTGAGGCCAACCGGGACTACACAGTGAGTATAAGGCCAGCCTAAACTACATAGTGAGACCCTGTCTTCAAAAACAAATAAAAGAAAGAATAGCAAGAAAGGAAGTTACTGCTTGCTATCGTTTGCATATGGTTTGAGTGTGTCTCTCAGGATTTACGTGTTGGGAGCTTGGTCCCTAGGCACGGTGAGGTTAGAGTTGAGTGAGGTTAGACTTTGGCCTATGTACTGAAAAAAGAGGTTTGTCAAGTGCTGGCCTATGGGAAGGAAGCCACTGAATGTTTTGATGGAATGAATGTTTTTGTATAATGGCCTTAAACATTTCTGGAAGCATTTCACATAAATTACATTAAAAATGTCAAAAAAAAAAAAAAACCTTTAAAAGGTAGGCCTTGGGCCAGGGATTTAGCTCAGTGGTTCCACCACCTGCCTCGAAAGTGCAAGGTCCCAAGTTCAATTCCCCCTTACAAAAAATAAAAGGCAGGCCTAATAGGAAATAATTAAGTCACTGAGGAGGGCACTGCCCTAGAAACGAATGAATGTAGGCTGGATTAAGTTCAGTGGTGCCACTGCCTGCTTTGCAAGTGTAAGGTCCTGAGCTCAATCTCTGGTACCAAACAAAAGAAAAAGAAATGAATGTAGTTCTCATGGGACTCTGCTTAGTATTTATGGGAGAATTGCTATAAAAGAGCAAGCCTGGTTCCTTGCATGCTGGCTTTCTGTCTCACCATATGGTCTCTCCCGCAGTGTGGTCTCCTACCACTGGGATGCCATCCTCCAACAGGTTCCCACTAGAGCTAGCACCATGCTATTTGGACTTTCATCTTCCAAAACTGTGATCAAAATAAACCTCTGTAGATATTACCCAGCCTCGATATTTTATTGTGACAACAGAAAAAGCCTAACACAGAGATGTTTTGTTTACCCAGACACCATGATGGTGATGCCTTAAGCTGGGTATATATAGTGTCTTTCTAGTCTGGCCTCCAATTGTTTGATGCTGGTGTTGTCCCATGGAAACCTTGAATATCAACCCCAAAATGTGACGCTCTAAACTTTTTCTTTTCTTGGAAGTTCCAGTTTTATTGCACTGCTCCAGAAAGCCAAAGGCTGTGCTTTAGTCTCCTACCTGTAGAGAGGGGACCTTGCTATCAATAGGTCTTCCCAGGGAAGCAGCCGTAAAAGAAGCTTCTAACCAAGGCAAAAGGCGTGACTTGATTGTTTCCACACCATCGTTATGTCCTCCTAAGAGAGTGCACATGCCCAATTAGCGAGAGAAATCTAGGTGTACCAACTCAGTCAGAGGACCCAAAAAAGCACGAAGAAAAGAGAGACCAGGAGGCGGGGTGGGATGGGAAAGCACCAGCTATTCTCACCTTCTTGAGCAGTTGTAGTGAGGATCCCAAAGAGTTGTCCTTGTACTTTGGCAACTTGCTTGATGAGTTCAAGGCAATTATTTAGATTTTGATCACATGAGTTTGTCTGTAACACCAAAACAGCAGCTATCAGTGAGATTCCTTCACTCTGGGACAGACACACAAAGGCTTTCTTGATCCGGGGGCTGCCTGGCTCTGGTGTGCTCACTGTAGTAGAGCCTCTGGGTAGCCACCAAAACCTATTCCCTGTTCATTCTGGACACACAGCTAAGCCACTTCCCCCAGAGTCCTTCACCGTTTGTGTAACCATGGGATCAAGCTCATTAATAGTATGGGAAGTGATGTGCGGCATGTCCAGACCTGACCAATACAAAACCCTCCTTAGAAATTCTCTTTCTCTCTTCCCTCCCTATCTCCCAAAAAAATGCAAAGGAGCCACCAGCAGACCCCAAGGCCACAAGTGATGATGGAGCCACAAGATATGTAAGGCTGTTGACCTAATGCTTGCATTGAACTGCTGCATGGTTGAGAAAGTTAGCTAGTATGTGTTATGCCTCTAAGATTTGGAGTTTTTTTTGTTTTTTGTTTTTTGGTTTTGGTACTGGGGATCGAACTCAGGTCCTTGCACTTGGGAGGCAGGCTCCAGAACCACTGGGCTAAATCCCCGGCCCTGGAGGTTTTTTTTTTTTTTTTGGAGTTTATTTTTATAGCAATAATCCTTGGGGTGGAGCGCTTCAAAAAATTTATAAAGTGAACAAACCTTTTGTGACACAGTTGCTACCTAATTTACCTGCTTTGTTGTTTTTCATCCTCTACATAAATTCAATTTTTACTCTACCTTCAAAGGGAACACAACTTCTTTGAAAGTATTGCTGGGTTGAGGATACAATGGAGAATAAGATAAAAGGATGGCAAATGCTGACTAGTAGAGTGACAGGGGAATGGACAGCTACTCCTGATAGGGAAGTACTTGTGTATGTACTACCAAAGCGAGAACAACTTAAGGAAATATTTGGAAGTCCACCGTCTTGGAAAGTCAGGGAAAGTTTCTGAGAGGAAGTGAAATCTAGCCCGAGAAGAACTTGGGTAGAATTCAGGAAAGCACTGGGTCCAGTTCATGTTGAACAATCTTCTAAGTGATGAGAACACAACATAAGAGGTTGAGAAGCAAGCATTTTAGCTGTTTCTACTTTCATCATTCCTTGGTGAGATTTTACCATTTCATCATTAATCAAACTTCTAATTGATTCCAACTTACAAAAAGAAAGACAACAGGTTGAGGATGCAGCTCAGTGGTAGACACTTGCCTTCTATGCACAAGACCCTGCCCCAAAGTATCACACACACAGAAATATTAACTATACACAACAAATAAATCACACAGATATAAATGTGCATAAATTTATGTGTCACTTCAAGTCATAATATGGCATTGGCCATCTGTGTCCCCTGGGTACCATAAACCCCAGAACAGGAAGCAGAGTACAAGGAGGAGGATAGTAATAGAATGAAGAAATATCACTGAGATGGTCTCCAGGCAAAACCGCGCAGGTGAAAGGTGTATCTGTATCAACAAGAGAAATGGTTTAGACAGGCAGAAACCTCCTTAGGAAAGAGATCTTGAGGTTCTCTCTTTGTAGTCCCAACCTTGTATTCTGTAGTATTCACATTCGATGTGTATTGAATGGATGAATGAAAATGAGATGATTTGCTCACTTTGTTTTTACTACATACTTCCCATATGCCAGGTGCTATTAGTATTTTGCATGGATAAACCCAGTTAATCTTTGAAATAGTACATTATGACATAGAAGCACTATTATTATCCTTCACATTTTCAGATGAGAACACTAAGCCACAAAGAGGTTAAGAAATTTGCCCCAAAATATCCAGCTGGTAAACTGTCAGAGCTGAGATTAGGGCCCCAGCAGCCTGGTTCCAAAACCTGTGCTCTTCATTACTTATACTGACTTTTCCATTGTGATTAGTGTTAGCAGCAGAGGGAGGACTGAAAGATGTAACAGAGAGAGTGGAAAGGGCAGTCAAGGACAGACTGTCTGAGGAGGAGACACATGAGCTAAATCCTGGATGACAGGAGGATGCCCAGTGGAAGGGAAAGAGCATCCCAGGCAATGGGACCAGCAAGGGCAAAGACCTGCAGCAGGAACAAGTGAGCAACCTCAAGGACCAAATGTACATCAATGTGGCAGAAGCACAGAAGGGCAGAGAGGCTGATGGGACAGATCCTGGAGAGTCCTCAGGATGATGGGCAGTCTGGATGAGTGGCCTTTAACTGAGAGGGCAGCTGGTTTATTTTCCATGCTTGGTAAATAGCACCTGGCAGCTGGCTCAGGTTGTAGCCCCTGATTTTTTCCTCTATGTCATCCTTTCATTGCCACTTCCCCCTTTCCAAAAAAATTGATTTCTTTTAAAAATGATTCTTGTTTGTCTCATGTTTGCATCTATTGTCACTAGAATCCTAGCAAATGGAAGAGCCCAAATGATGTTTGATGGATGAATGTTGGAACATAATGGTGACATGCTCAGCACACTTGGAACTGAGAGTGTGAACAGCTACATCCATTCCTTCCTCACTGAGCCAGCAGCTCTTGTCTTGCCCTGACCACCGTATACCTCACCAGACTGAACTTCAATTACCTGCTTGCAGGCCTTTTGCCCTCTCTCTAGATCATCCCATGGCTGAGTGGATGGAGCATGACTTGGGGGCTCAAGCAGGCCTGAGTGTCTTCACTACCACTTGCTACAGTTCTGTGCTGATCCTGTACAAGTGACTTAACCTCTCTGAGCCCATTTCCTCTCCCATAAAATAAGGATAATAATGCTTTGCAGAGTGATAGGAGAACTAGTCAAGTCTAGCACCTCAGATAGAAGCTGTTGGGCAACTGGCAGCCATGGGGTGGAAGGCAGCACTGAAAGGAGCCAGGGCTTAGGAATCAGGCAGATCTAGGTTCAGATCTCTTTCTCCTCTAATTAGCTGCATTCCCTTAGGAAAGACAATGGAATAGAAGGCTCCATTCCCTGGTATTTAGGAAGTTGTTGATCTCACAAGCCTAGCAAAATGGAGACACATAATAATTAAAAGCATTATGTAGTATCATGACTACCTGTTCCTATGCCTGATGCATAGTAGGGGCTAAATGTAAAGCTTGTGTACAAAGCTTAAATAACAGTAGAGTATACTGTGATACTGTTCCCTTTCCTAAGACCTGTCACAACATGCTGCAGCTTCTCAGCTAGAGCACTGCACAGGATACTCAAGTTACAGTGGAGTTTCATTATCCTACTAAACACACACCCACATGAGGTCAGTAGAACACAACCATGAACTAAGCATACAGTCTCCAAAGCACAGACTCTTCAGATTGATTCATTCATAAACCATTGAGTTCCTGTTATATAGAAAGCCCTCAACTGGCAGCTTCTGTGATAAACGTACAAAATTTCTTGATATCAATGAGCAAGTGAAGTAGGATGGAGAATGACAAACCCACAAGGAGTCAACAATCACCTTAAATTGTATCAAGTGCTCTGTGTAAATCATGAGCTATAGACAGAACAATCAAGCTCAAGTGAGGGCTGAGGTCTAAAAGACAATTCAAGAGGAACAACAGCAGATACTGAGGACAAGAAGTAGCGGGCACATTAGAGGAAAGTGAGTCAGGGTCCAAAGACCAAGTTCAAAAGCCCTGACTTGCACCATATGGATACTGGGCTTTTCCCTATTATCGAAAGATCTAAGGAGGCAAGTGAGGGAGAGTGGCATAATTTGGTCATATTTGCTTTGCACTTCACAGAAATCCCTCTGCAGGAGCAAACCACACAGAGGTTGCACCGGCGAGGGAGTCAGTGGGGAGGTAGGCAGGTGTAACTGTCTGGCTGCAAGATGCTGAATTCAGGCTATGAAACTACCAAGGATCCCCTAACAGTCTTTCCCAGCCCTGAATCACTCTCATGTCAGCTGGGATCCCACTGATTCCAGCATTACCAAAGAGGAAGTAAAATGCATTTATTCCTGTGGGTAAGCTTTAAAAACACGGCCCCAAATGATAGTAGTGCCTTGCCTGTGTTGAGAATCACTGTGCTGTGTGGGCAGGAGAGCCATGGAAATATCCCTCAGAGAGCTATATCAAAGTGGGACTGGAAGTAGGCATGAAGGAAGGCAGAGAAATCAGTAGGAATAAGCCATGTTACAGGTATGAACTTGAACAAGTAAATGCCAAAAGTATTTTAGTGCTTCATTCAGACAGAAAGTGAGAGGTAATAAATAAAGCAGAATATTCATAATGTAGCCATCAGTATCGTTCACATAAATACGTTCTGTGAACGCTACTAACCTCTGTACAATACCCATGGGTTACTAGCCTCCTTTTGGAGCTATGGTAGCTGTAAAAACATTGAATTTTGTTAGGGGCAGAATTCTCTGAATTTATGGAGCTGTGATGCCCGTGAGCTCCTTCCCTGAAACTGCAGGTTTATGTTTGCAACATGTTTCCCTTGAGATTTCCCTAAACACATGCTAGAAACTTCTTTTCCCACATGCATGAAACAGCAGGAGCTTGAATAAGAGCAGTGGCAGCTGGAAGAGAAGGTGAGAGGTGTTTGAGAGCTATTTACTAGGCACAATCCTCTATGCTTCATGAGTCCATCTTCAAGTGGATGCAGGAGGAGGGCGCAGTTTGTGACTTGGGCCACAGAACGGATTGTGATGCCATCACCCACCCCAAGGCCATTCTCAACAAGAGGACAACCAGCAAGACTACAGAGAAGACGGCCCATTTGTTTGGTTTGTGTTGGGCTTATGAGGCCTCTGGCACATGCACACAGAGCTATCTGAAAGGCAGGTAGCCACCCAGGTTGGTCCCTAGAGCAAAGCTCAACCTCATAGACTTGGGAGTCATCAGTATCTGGGAAATAGCTAAATAAAATTTGGCAAGATGTGTCTACTATTGCAGAGAAATCAAGGAGAAAGGGGCTGGAAAAAGGGGATTGGGTTTGGCGTCAGGTGGCCTCTAGTGGCCATTATGAGAGCAGTTACAGGAGAAGGGAGTGGGAGGAGTTGAGGTATTACTACATGGCCTGGGTTGGAGGAGCAAGACTTGGTAAAGCGAAGGCAATTCAAGCAGATTATTCTTTCAAGAAGTTTTGTGGTATGAGGAAAGAAAACAACAATAGTTTTGTTCTGTGCCTTCTATGTCACCACTCTCTTGTTCAAACAAAAGCTCCTGAATCTAATCATTGCCTAATTTCCAAAGTCTTCTATAAATGCTTCCACTGGACTCATCCAGCCTTACTTCCTCTGTTCCCCTCCAGTTCTCTCTCTGCCTGCCCTGCCTTTGCACGTGTGTGACTTCATCCCAAAGGAACTCTGATCATTTGGTCTCTTATTTACTTACTCCTGAGCAGCCTTGACCTTCTGTACTGACAACCAGCTATTTCCTCTCATGCCAGACTGATTGTCCAATATGCTAACGGTTTTTTCATGCTTACTGTTCTATTCCTAACCTAAATTACTTCCACAATATAAAAGGAGAGTGAAAACATGATTAACATAGTTCTCACAAAATTAGTAAAATTTTCCAATGAACATTTTCAATCAACTCTCGATTGTCAACTTTAAAGGCAATTTAAACCATCAATTTCAGTACAAATACAGCAATTCCCAGTGACTTCAATCTCACATAAATAAAATGTGTTTCATATATATTAAATAAGAATTAATAGTACAAAAGCATTCATCAAACTATCCCTTTAAAATGTAAATGTGATTGCAACATTAAATGGTTTCCCAGCTTTTTTATTTTTAAAAATTTCATGTTACCTATAAAAAGAATTTCATTTCTATTTGGCCAACTAGAGAATTCAGAGTAAGGAAAAGAGAAGCGTTCTCTAATGTGTCTGCATGCTAGAGAGAGGGGCAGGATTTTGCAGCCTCTGGCAGGCAGCCATGGAAACCCACACATGGAAAACAAAAGCTTTCATTTCTACCTCCCCTACCCATTACTATTCAGGATCTGTTATGCCTGGGGTGTGGAAGTGGAAAAAGAAGGCAGGAGACGGATACTGCAAGTACATGGAATGTTCTTCTATCTGCCCTTCCTCTGAAGGACATAAGAAAAGGGACTTAGCATGCCAAAGACCTAGTGTCGAATTCCAGTTACACCCTTTCTCACCAAATGGGACTTTGGGCAGGTAAGCTGGCATCCTAAGGTTTGGTTTTTCCCATCTGTAAGATGTAGAAAATAAAATACACTTATTCACAGATTTTTATAAACCTTAAAGGCAATAATACTTGAAGGGTCTATTGGAAGCTTTCAAAAGCTCTGCATAGCTAGTCATAACTAGCCAGGACTGCTCCTCTCAGGACATAGCAGTCCCACAGGTGGGCAGTCTTTTCAACACCCCATTCATAAAATTGGTATCAAGTTGACTCTACCCTGGCACTATTGCCTCAACAACAAAGTTTTGAGTCAAAATACTGAATTTTAGATGTAAGAAAAAGTAGGCTTACGTATACCGCAACAATTCAGCAAAGCTTCTCCACCAGATTTTATAGGACCTTGACCCACAGTGAGTACTCCTATTGGACTTCTTTCATTATTTATTCTCCAATGATGATCTTAACATTAACCAGTTGGTCCAAGATGGAAAGAAAGTCAGTTTTACAAAGTTTATAGCCTATTAAAAATGAAATTTTTTAATTTAATCACTTGTCAATTTCTTTTGCAGCCATGAATGCATCACTAGTAACTGAGGAGAAAGAGCAGCACCAAGCCAATCTTCCATGTGCTTTTCCACATTTCTCAGGCCACCTTACAATTACATCAAAAACACTTAACTACTACAATCATATGCTTCATAATGATGTTTCAGTCTTAACAGGCCACATACAAGGCAGTGGTCCCATTAGATTATACCACTTAGTGATGCCATAGCTGTCTTTGTGAGAGTCTATTCTATGATGCTCACATGACCACAAAACCACTGAACAAAACATTTCTTAGAATATATCCCTGTCATTAGTGATTCGTGACTGTACTTCTAGCTACAGGACGGTGAGTGGGACTGGAGTGAGTCATTTAAGAGCATTGCAAGTTCTTCATGCCTCTTGTCCCATAGCCTTTCAAGGTCACAGGCAGTATGGCAGCTTCCCCAGACAACGGAGACTGAAACTGAGCTAATGATGGAAAAGGGTTGCTATTAGACTGTGTGACTGAGGGAAAAAAAGGATTTCACTTGTTAAGACACCAAGATTTGGGAGTTTATAATTAATACAGCTTGCCCTGGCTAGTAAAGAGATAAAGGTCCTCAAAGAAAGAAAATGTGCTCTATAAATTTACTTATTAGGTGGACTCCTTAAGAATGTAGAAGTCTGTTGATGAAGGAGAAGGGTGGGGTGAAGGTGGCAGGGAGTCTGTTTGAACACATCATAGCAACTACAACAATGTTTTGTACTAGGAAACAGAAGTATGTTGGCATAGACCTCTATTTCAACCACAAAGATCATTCTATGCCAAACAGAAGAGACACCTCAATAAGATTTCCTTTGATATCTGTGTTGTTATTTAATATGCTGCTTTCACTTGTTGGTGCAGATATCTATAACACAAAACAAGAATAATAAGGAAGGCTTCTTGCATTACCACCCCTCCTCCCCGATCCCCACTTACATATTAAATAACCAAAAGTTTCTAGACTATAATGTCCTGATGTCTATTATTTTACTTTAAGAAATGTCATCTGGCCCATTATAGGAATGGGGTTATCAAGCTAAGTGTTACCCATTTGCTACTATAATTATATAGAGTACATTTTTTGAAACAACAAATCTCAGAGCATCTGACCTAGGTTAACTCACTAGTCCACAGGACTTTGAGGGGAAACAAAAGCATCTCAAAGGGAGGAGGGGGCCAGAGATTTAGCTCAGTGGTTCAGCTGCCTATCTTGCAAGCAAGCAGAAGGTCCCGAGTTCAATCCCCGGGACCCAAAAAAAAAAGGGAGGGACTCAGCCCAGAGTTGACTTACTCCAAATACTACTAACATTGTACAGTGAATTTCTTTTCTCATGCTAACATCTTCATGGAGTGATCAGGTAATCAGAATACAAGATGACTTGCTGAGTTGATTAACAAAATCATACAGATGTTGCAAGATGAATTTGGGGGTATTTGGGCAGTGTACTCTTACATGAACCTTAAGGGCCATTCTCAGAGTCTTTGATTTTGTTCACTACTCATGCCAGGCTAGTTTATAAAGGATTCATTCACACAACTTCTTACTTAAATATCATCCAACCCCATGGTGGGAGGAGATGGGGAAAGGAAAAATTATGAGAAAAGAAAAAAAAATGGAAATGAAGTATGTAAATAGGGAAGGGTGGAAGGGGTGAAGGGCTTACAGGTAATGGGGAAAAAATAAGAAGCAAGATACATCATGTACAGGTACAAGCATCCAATGATAAATGTAAATGTATTGTATACCTAAAATGTACCAAGAAAAGAATTTAAGTTAAAA